TAGATTGAAAAATTATTTGTTTTATTGTTTAAAATGGCTGTTTAGTTCAGCTCTTTTTTTTTTTTTTTTTGCAACTGACTATGACTTCTTTATACAAGACACCTGAGAGACTTTGTTCACAGTTTTGTAATTAATATATACTCTGCCTAATAATGTTTATGTGGAAATATGTAAAGCTAATTATAAAAATTATATGGTTATTTTTTTTATTACAGTTAATTAGGTTTAGGCATTAGTTTTGCTTTCTGGAATTTCTCCGCATTAAATTCCCTTTAGTAGCACATTAATCTTAAGAATTCTAGCAAAGTTGTTATGTATTCATTTATTAACTCATTCTTTACTTTCTTTTCCTATTCTCTTTTCCACCTCTATGACAGACACTATAATTTATATGTTGCATGTTAATTTTTCTAAAATGCATGGTGTTACCTTATGTGCCATTTAAGTCCATACAAGCAGCATTGCCCTATACGTTAGATCTGAATTCTCACTTGTTTTTACCTGTCACAGATTTGCAGACAAATCTGCTTTCTGGTGTTTAACACATGGTATGGTCTATTTCTTCCAACTTCTGCCAAGTATTTCTGTCATTAGCATTTACAACATTCCCACTGCTATGTTTCTTTATACAATTGCATACTCAGGAAGAGGACTTCTACACATGCATTCATTAATTTAACTACTTTCTGCCACATTGCACCCAAGAAAGGCTGCATTCTCATTAAGATAATTACACATCTATAAATCATAAATATGTGGTTGGTTTATTTTCTTATCCTGTCCTGGTCATACTATTTTCACGTCAGGGAATGCCTACCAAAAATAATCACCCATCATGAAATCAAGGTCTACTGATACACATCTGGTCAACAGGTGGCATTTATGGCTCTCACATTTTTCTCAATAAGATAAAAGTTAGACAATATATAATTTTTGTTTTAGTTTACATGTCCTCATTACTAATGGATAGTGCTTTTCTTGGTACAGTTGTAACCATTTTGAAATTTCTCCTCTGTGAATTACCTTTATGTTACTAAGTGTCAAAATATTTCTATTTTTTCTAGTACTATATAGTTTTTATAACAACAGGAAATATAAGACACATAGAAAGATTATGAAGTGTGTAATGCTATACACGTAGCAAATATTGTGGAACTAGTTGTTGAAAGAATAAGATGAATTTAAGTCATGAGCTTTTTAGTACGATATATATAGAGAGAGATATTTGAATTTGTAGTAACTTGTAATATTTCAACGGTTAATTGAATAATTTTAATAACTGAGATGCTGTTGATGTAATGGTAAATATTAAGCACAAATGAAGTATTATTAATATGGAATTTTGGCATTATAAAGATAAGAATGGCTTTGCCAATTTGAGGAACATTCAAAATTAATGAATTAGCCTGGTACCAGTTGCTCATGCCTGTAATCTTATCTACACAGGAGACTGAGATCTGAGGATTGTGATTTGAAGCAAACCCAGGCAAGGAAGTCTATGAGACTCTTATCCAGTTAACCAACAAAAAGCCAAAAGTAGAGCTGTGTCTCAAGTGGTGGATAATTAGCTTGAGCTAAAGAGCTCAGGAACAGCACACAAGCCCTGAGCCTAAGCCCCAGGACAAATTAATTGTAGAAATTAGGAAAGTGTACATGAAATTACATTAGTTTTTTTTTAAGTTCTAGAATTGCTTCATGGTGGTTTGTTATTGTTGCTGTTGTTAATAGTATATTAAGCTTGAGATTTTGAACAACAAATCTTAAGTATTGCACATTTGGTAAAAATTCTGCAAGTCTTAGCTTTTCTATTAAAGGCTATTATAATAGTTAGTCTCTGTGAATATGACTAAAGAATCATTTTTACACTCTCCAAATTGAAAAACTTATGTTTAACTTACATCTTATGAATTTAAATACAAGGAAAATATGAATGAATGTGTATAAAAAGTAAAGAACATTCATGTATGTGACCTTCGAGGAAATCTTTCCACATAATATAAAATACTGTTTTGCAAATGAAAATACTTACATTCAAATTAATAAATGATAAAGTATTATTTTATATTCCATCCATAGAATATAATATTTGCAAAATTGTTTGCATGTGTTGTACATCAACACAGAATTTTACAATTAATAGATATATTTCAAATATGTTAAAGTCAGGTGGTGTAATGCCTCCTGCTTTGTTCTTTTGCCCAAAATGGTTTGGGTTATTCAGGAGTTTTTTGTGCTTTGATAGATGTTTTAGGATTGTTTTTTCTAGTTCTGTGAAGATTGTCTTTGTTATTATGATAGTGATTGTTTCAGGTCTGTAGGTAGCAAGACTATTTTGACAACATTGGTTTTATAAATCCATGATATTTTACTTTTGTAAACTTGTAAATTACTTTTACAAATATCTGGTAATTTTCATTCTCAAGATCTCTCTCATTTAATTAAGTTCATTCCTGAATGTTTTAGAGCTACTGTAAATGGAATTGATTTCATGATTTCTTTTTCAGATAATTTTTTGTTGGCATATAGCAATGATGCTGACTTTTTGCACGTCGATTTTAAATGTTCAGTTGCTGTTGAATGTATGTATAAATCCTAATGGTTTTTTTAGTCTTTGTGATTTTCAACTTATAAGAGCATGTCAATTTCAAGTGAGAATTTGACTCTCCCTTTTCCAACATAGATGCCCTTTATATTTTTCTCTTGCCTGATTTCCCTAGCTTGGACTTTCAGAACTAGGTTGCAATAAAATATTAATTATGGGCATCCTTATTATACTTCAGCTCTAAGAGAGAAGTTTTCATCTCTTCCCATTCTTTATAATGTTAGCTATTGGCTTATTATATTGATGTTTATCGAAGTGTTTTGTTTATCTTCCTTTTTATTTTCTTCATTTTTATCATGAAGGGATATGTTGTATAGGGTTTTTGTACTTCATGCTTGATGTGGGCTATCAAATGATAGTCTTAAAAAAATCACACAATATTTAATTCTCAGACTTCCAAAAACATTTTATGTAAAAATATCGAATGATATATTCAATTCACTATTAACACTGGTTTCTACAGGATTTATAGGAAAGTAGAAAGGAAAATGTATTATTTAACTGTGTTGAAATAATAGTCTTTCTGCTAGTGGGCCTCAGCATAAGCAGCAGGAAAGTATAATGAGGTACCACAATCTATTTGCAACTTGATTTCAATTTAATGATGTCCATGATGAACTTCTGGTATATTAAGCCCAGAAGAAAAGGATCTTTGGAGAATGAGATTAATATTTTCAATAAATAAGATTCATTATTGAATAAGATTAGTAATGAGTTAATTTTCCTATAATGCCTCAGACACTAGACATTTTCTCCAACATATTAACTTTCAAGGATCTATTTTATTTTATGAATCTAATTTTTTAATTGAAAAGGTGATGAGCAGGGGAGTGAGTACAGTTACATAAGTAAAGCAATGAATACATTTGTTTTTTGTTTTTTAATTTTTTTATTGCAAAGATACTGTACAGAGTGTGATTTTTCACAGAATATGCTATTGCCAATTGTGACCATGCAATTTCTGAACTACAACAGCATTCATTTGTTTAATCCAAAATTATCTGTTTTTATGTCGATGTTTTATTTCTCCTGACTTATAAAATGTTCCGTTCTTTCATTGTGGCAGATTTTTATTTAGTGGTGTTGTCATTGTCTTTTACATAATTTTCTTATTTTTATGTATACAACAGCTGGGATTGTTGAAATAAACCTAAGGCCCATCGGAAGATAAAGTTTTCTGGGAGTAAGTTATAGAAAAGTCATTTTTTTTTTTGTTTGTGTTACTGTGAGCCCATCTATGGACTTCTTTCTTTATATTTTAAAAGCATTTTCCTTACTTGATTGCAACTGGTAATATGTTTTCTAACATTTACCATAATTATGAAAACTTTTAACAACATAATCTCTCCCTGTCTCCAGTAGTGAACAATGCAGAATTTTACATAATGTGAAGCTTATAACATAGTGTGGGGCTTTTTTAAAACCCTAATTGCTCAACAATTATTACATTTATCTAAATCGTGGTTGCATCCAGACATTTTTCTCAGGCAAAGCTGACAACATTTACACATATGTGGCCACCATGTTGGAGATTTTATCAAGATGTTTCCAGGTTATATTAAGACCATGTCAGTTACATCAAATAAGTACTCTACACTATTTTGACAGTTCACAAACTGACAACCCCCCAAAACTGGATGCAATGGTACTACTTTCATTTTAAATACAGAGGATGAGATATCTTTATAGGTGAATGAACTCAGTGTGAAGTGAAAATGTGGGGTTTTGTTCAAACATTATTAAAAGTTTCAAGATAGCACCCATAAAGCTTTATAGCAAGCCTAGGACCTTCTGAGTCCAGGGCCTTATATTACAGCACAGGTCACAGACCCATACAGCTGCCCCTGCTGTATGGTTCCTGCTACTCTCATTGGGAATATCTGTCATTTAATTCAGAAAAAAGAAATAGATCAGTGTGTTTTTATCTAGACAAACGCAAAGTACACTTGTTTCTGAAAAGCATTTCAGGAGGAAATCACCAGATTACTTATACCACTAGGAATATAGATGATTTATGCTATTCTAGTATGTTGCTTCCTAAAGGGGAAAAATATACTGATGGTTAAAATTACTCGTTTGTTTGTTTGTGTTTTTTTATGTTTACAAAGTTGGTGTGGACAATATACATTCAATAATGTTTTTTATAGCAATGTGAACAGAATGCATGTGTTTGTTAATATTTACTAGGTATCCAAAAGCAGAATTTTGCATGTTGTTTTAAATATATTCATGTGTTTGGGTAAGTTTTTTAGGTCAGATTGCAGAGAATTTTGAACTGATATTATCTGCATTGGTGTGCTATGTTGGCTTTTAAATAGAGAGAAATGTAAGCTGTGCCCTGCGGACTCAGCAGAAAGAGCACATGTTTGAATTTTATATTTGAATTTGTCTTTTTTAGGGATGCAAGTATTGGAATGGAATGGAATCCCTTTAACTTCTAAGACATATGAAGAAGTACAGAGTATCATTAGGCAGCAAAGTGGGGAAGCAGAAATATGTGTAAGACTGTGAGTTTTTCCCCATCTTTCTGTTTCCATTTTTTGGCAATTCATGGCTCTTTTAATTTAAAATTGTTAAGGTGGAACCTTTGCCAGTAAGAAAGATTTTCAGTAATTAGAAAACAAAGTGAATACACAATTTATAGATTTCTTGTGTTCTGAATCAATGTCTAAAGCATAGAGAGAATCCCACTAATTTAGTTTCTGATGGTGTCGTTAGCTCTCCCGTGTATCTTTCTATTGAAACATGCTTCATTTAGATGAAAACCTGACCTGTTTAGATCATGGATATTTATGGTATTTCTAAATGATCTTATATTTAACCCATAAAGATTTCACCTTAAAGAATCACTTATATCTGCTTTGATTTTAACAGCATTGCATATATGTATATGTATATCTAGTGGACTAGAAGGGTGAGCATGCTTTTGGGTTGCTTTCTATCATGAACCACTTCTCATTTACCTACTGAAAAGAAAAACAAAACTAGGTAGTTGGAGGGGGAAAAAAGGAGAGCCTTTTGTCTCAGTCTCCTTCACTTTCTTACTTAATGTTTTGTCTTAATTTTTAGGGATCTCAACATGCTATCTGATTCTGAAAACCCCCAGCACCTAGAACTCCATGAGCCACCAAAGCCTGGTAAGTTGAAGCAATCTGCTTTATAATATGAAGAAACAAATATAGGAATTCTTGTAGAAGTAGATGAAATACACATACATAAAAAACATTATGGATAGATTTTTGTACGTTTTTTATTGTAAAAGTACTGTACAGAGGGGTTACAGTTACATGAGTAAGGTAATGAGAACTTTTCCTATCCAGCATTATTGCCTCCTCCTTTTATTCCCCTACCATCCCTTCCCTCCCACCTCCACAACACCCCCATACCTCCTCACCCCCATCCCCCACCAAAGTTTTAAAGTTCATTTTCAACATATTGTCTTGTACATCTCATTGTTACAATGGTCAACCTGTATCCCTATTTAAGCATTCTGTTTTTTCCCTTCCCCTTCCTGAATTAGAGAAGTATATATACAAGATACAGGGCACTGACATCAAATACACTGAAAACAAGGGTTATACTGTGGGGGAGGAGCATGTAAAGAAACAAAAATATTACATGGTACATTATAAATATGTTAGAAACAATAGCAAGGAAGACCAAAATATTTGTGTCCCTATCTTGGGGTTCATTTCACTTAACAACATCTTATATGGTCATATGTACATAGCTTTTGACTTTTTCTACTTATCCTACACATGTACTGGTTATTGCAAATAAGGGAAACCATGTTAGGCTTGATAATAATTTCATATGAAGTAAGCCATTGCTGCATAAGATCACATTTAAATAAAAATTAATCTTGTGAAATTCATTTGTCTTTGATCTTTGATTTAGTACTCATGTATTTTCAACATAACTATTATTAATTGTTAGAGACTGAAGCCAGGGTGTTTTGCATGGAGAAAATACTCTATTCCTGAGGTATATCCTTGACCTTATAAATGTGTTTTGAAGGTTTTGTTTGTCATCTTATAATAAGTTTTAAAAAATCATTTAGCTCTTTCTTAGCTAACAAAATACGTATTTATTAGATAAAATGTAAGACTGAAATAATTTCCTTTAATTTTTATTGATTTCTTCCTATGTTACACTGACAGTTGTAAAGTCTGTGTTACTTCCATAAATAGAATTAATTAAGTACTATCGGGATTTTAGCATCTATAAATGTGCTAAAATTAAATATACTCTGAAATATTCCCCTTGAACAGAGCAAGAAAAATGGCTGATCATTCAGTCAAGTTCCAGTAAACAAAACAGGATATTGTATCATTCATACAGTGCTCTATAGAACATTAATAATTTTCTGAAGATGTAACTGGAACTTCAGTGTCCCTCTGTAATTCATCATTATACCATTCTCTCTGGGCCACCCATACTTCCTCTGAAATAGATGCATAAATAAGCATCAATTTAACACCGAAGGTAGTTTTAATTTATAAGCAGTATTTTGCCATTGCCCCCTAGAACCTCAAGAGGCTCCATGGTATGAAGAATCTCTGAAACAGAGAAATTTGTAAATCTTTCAAATGTCATTTGCTTGTAGTGGACAAGGCGAAATCCCCAGGAGTTGATCCAAAGCAGTTGGCTGCCGAGCTCCAAAAGGTTTCGCTACAGCAGTCGCCTCTGGTGTTGTCATCGGTGATGGAAAAAGGATCCCATGTTCATTCGGGCCCCACATCAGCAGGATCCAGCTCTGTTCCCAGCCCAGGACAACCAGGGTCTCCCTCAGTGAGCAAAAAAAAACATAGCAGTAGCAGCAGCAGCAGCAGCAAGGTAAAAAGTGGTCAGTGTGATGACTGAGTTACCTCATTTCTGGCTCTTCAATCATACCAGATAGGAAATGAAGTATCATTTTATTTACATAAATTCTTTTGTGACTACCTCAAATCAGAATGATTACTATACAATAACAACAAGACATTTTCCTCTTCTGACTATAAACATTAACTTTATGTATTTTCAAGTCTCAAAATATTTTGATAATTATGAAATATTTGTCTGATGCTTCATGTTTCCTGCTTACTTTTCTTAGCGTTTGCATACATCTGAACTTTCTTCTGTGTACAGCATTAGGTTTTTGTCCTTTTTGAAATACAAGGTATGATGTCTCGTGAAATTAAAGAAGTTCTTATCTAATTACAAATGAAGAATGATCAGGCAAATTCAATGAAGATGTAACGTTGAAAGTCATTAAGAAGTAGATTGAGGGTTCTTGAGAGAGCAAGGTTAGAAAAGCTGACGTTTAACTAACTGAATGTTATAAAAGGGGACAAGGAATCAATATTTCAAGCAAAGAGTCCAACCAGAAAAAAACAAAAATCATAAAAACAGAAAATAATGTGTCTAAAGCATAGAACTACACAAGATACGGGGGTGAGTAGAATCCTAGAAGCCTGAAAATGGGAAAAATTACAGGTTATACCTGGCCTTTTCACTACCATCTGGAGGTAATAAGGAGGTAATGATGGCTTTCAGTAAAAATGAAAGGAGAATGATACAAAGCAACCTCCATAAAGTCATTACACATTGTCATCTTTTTCTGACATCAAGAAGTTATTCTTCCTTCTACCTCCAATGGTCATAAAACCATTTGTATCTTTAAATATTTAAAATTCATAGAATATTTAAAATTACCTCTTCAGAAAGAGGTTGGACTTTCTTTGTTGAGTTATACACTACATGAGAATTAAGAATCTTTTTTTATTTTTTCTATTCCCTTAAGTCCATCATTCAATGTTTTCCACAATAATAGCACAGTATTATTGTGATCACTTGAGAATCCTTTGTACTGTAACTGTACAAACTAGATTTATTGTAATATGTGAACTTCCTAGGTAAAATGAAAACAGTTAAATTGGGAAAACATTAAGAAATTTGTGATCTGCAGTAATTCTGATCTTTGCCAAGAATTTGGACCTGTGGAGTTCTATATTATTTTGTTAAAGCAAGAAACCTAGTACTCTACTGTCTAAAAGAGCAGATGCAAGCCACCTGTAGCCAATCCCACTTGAGTTATGTTGTAGAGTGAAACATAGGACTTAATATGAGAAATAAGAGAAAATATATTTCATTACAATTTCCATATTTATGTCATGGAAAATGGTATTATTTGGGATGAATTGCATTATGTAAAATATGTTATTAAAATTAGTTTCAATATTTATTTTTAGCATGACTACTAGAATATTTAAAATTACCTCGGTGGTTTGCAGTATAATCTATTGAACATTATAATCTATTGAGCAATATAATCTAGTGAACAGTGTATAGAGATTAATGTATTGACAGTAACATTAAAATGCATATATATGTTCAATTCTTCAGTGGAAAATTAAAATCATCAGTGGAAAATTATAATCATTAGATGTCAGCATTCTTGAGAAGAGAATATCATCTATACATCTTTTCTCCCTCATTATATGCAACTTTTAGAGTTCCTTGAAACATTTTTCCTAAAAGAATAAACAAATGAAATTTATAATTTTGACCCATCAATATATAGTAAGCATTAAAGCCTAAGTATCAGGATTGTAACCTATCTAAATATTTCACATATTTTCAACATAATTTAGAGAATTTTACTTTTTTTATTTATTAGGTATGTAATTAACTAAATGTTAAATCATATAGCATAATAATAAACTAAAGCTATTTTTTAAAAAATTATAATGAGAGTAATTATATATTTACATATTTAGAACATACCTATTAAACATTTTATCTTCTTATTTTATGTTTTTGATTGAAATTACTAACAGTTGCCAGTTACAGTGTAATCTTTTGAGTTCAGTGTATACTGGGTAATGATCATCTGAGAGTCCTTAGAGTATCTAACCATCATTTATTCTTGAAAATTTAAAAATCCTCTCTTAAAGATTTTGTGAGATATATTGTTTTTAGTTACACTTGCCTTATTTTCCCCTAGAATCCAGAACTTTTTCTTTTTTAACAGCAGTGACCAGGTAGAAATTAATTGCAAAAAAATTTGAAATGAAAAGTTATTTGAATAGTTAACCTACTAATGTAATGAATGGTCTCTACTGTTACAGCCTACAGATGCCACAAAGGTTGTCTCTCATCCAATTACGGGAGAAATTCAGGTATTTGTACAGTGTCAACAATTTACCTTTTCTTATGGCTGTGTTTGTTACTGGTCTTTCAAATTGTAAACAAACTATTAAAATCTATCTTATAATTACACACCAAACTATAAAGGGAAAATGTAATTTTGTAGCATGATATATTAATATAAATACAGGTAGCAGGAAATCCAACCATAGCTGTGGCGTTTTATACTTTGAAATGTCCTTGATGTGTCAGTAGGACCAGAATGTTTTGTGCTTCAAGTGCTGAGTACTTACTGAAGTGTTTTGGAACAAAGTAGATGGTATCTAATACTTTCCTTTCTTTTTTTCTTTTCATGAGTTACTACTGTGACTTTAGATACAGAGAGAAATAGACAGACAGATAGATCTTAATGTGGGTTAGAGTAAAAAAAAAAAAAAACTAGAAAAATGGTTCTTTAGGTAATAATAACAAGTCAATTAGGGTAAATAGAAACTGTCACCTAGAAAGAAAGAACACAATGTAAACAATCTATTTGAAGATAGTATCAGATAAGGTAAACAATCTTAGCTATATGCCCAACACAATCTAGAGAAAACATTCACAAACAACTTCTCCAAGGATAATAGAGATATTAACTCATTTAAAGAGCTTACAGAAAGGAATGTGTATTCTGGAAGAATATATACAAGGAAAAGTATTAACCGAGAAAAAGAATAAGATAATTTCTGAGAGAGAGATTGAAACTGAATTAAGAGACTCTTAGTTACAAAAATAGAGATATTAGATCTAACGTAATACAAAATGATGACTGAAAATTTTGGATAAGAGAAAGTCTGATAGAAAAAAATTGTAATAAAACCTAATATGACAGTAGACTACAAGGAAAGATTATAAAGGGGAGGACACAAAGACCAAAACATCATTGAAAGTGATTAATTACCTGGGTGCGTACTAATGAAAGCAGAGGTGGCATGCAGGTGAGCAAATGGAGAAGCACAGAATGTGAGCACATTACCAAGAAGGAACTGTTATGTTGGTACTCAGCCTGATTACCAGCGTCCACATCTGGATGTTACTGCTGTTCCCCACGTACAGGAAGCATTGCCACCAGACCTGTCTTTTGTTATTTCACAAGCAACAAAGGAAACATTAAACTCCCTTATTTTAGTTTTTTTAAAAAATATTTTGTATTATCAGTAAGTAATTGTATAGAGGAGTTGCCATTCACCAAAGCAGTTTATGAATAGAGTGCATCTTGATCAATGCCACCCCTTTCAACATTCTCACTCACCACTCCCAAACCTCCTCTTCCTTCACTTCTGTTAATTTTTAGGATAATAAATTCTCTGTCATTTGACAGAGCAGTTTATATATACAATTCATCCTGATCTGTGTCACCCCTTCAACATCTTCACGTCAAGTCCGCCTACCCCTCCTCTTATTTTTGTCCATTCTGTGGTATATACAATAAATTCTTGCTTGCATTCTCCTCCCCACCCTTATCCCTCCATTCATCTACCCCTCTCACCTTGGCCCTACCCCCTCCCCTCCAAGTACCCATTTCCTGGTACTTATTTCGTTGGGGCTTTGACTTAGTCATTCTAAAGAATTACACTATATGAGATGTTCATACAATCTCTTATACTTTAGTTAATTCATTTGTAACTGCTTTTATACCACCTGGTATGTTTATTTACAGATCTGTAGGCACATTCTAGCTCCCCCACATGAGGGAAGCCATGGAACTTCTTTATTTTGGGTCTGGCTTACTTCACTTAACAGTGTTTTCTAAGTGTTTCCATTTCTTTGTTCTTTTGGTTGGTGGTTATGTTGCTGCTGTTTACACTTTTATTTTCTTTGTCTCTCCCTTGACCAGTTAGATGTCTTGCTGAAGTTGAGATTTACCCTCACACTATTCTTCTTAACCCTGGAGATATTATTTTAATATTTTAGCCAAGCTTTATTGGTAATGAAGCCACCCCTCGATCTGCTGGCAGTTGGAATGTAGTGATTAAGGACTGCTGGGAACAGGCATGGTATTCTCTTTCAGAACTAAGCCCTGGGCCACTCCAGATGTTCTCTAAGTCCATTCAGAGCAAAAGTCGGCAAGCATTCTCAGTGTAGAGTGCAAGTTTGCATTTCAGTTTAAAAAAAAAAAAACTTTGTGCTTCAGCATTTGAACAGGAAATCTAAGACCAAAGAGAAGAAAATATAATGAAAGAGTTCTCCTTAAGAGAAAATATGAAAGCTGCTCCAGATATCCGTGACATTAATTGTGATGTATTTCCTAATCTGTATTTCCGTTCCCTTTTGTACCATAGGGATCTAAACCTCCACTCCTCATCTTCGTTTAGGGTTCTTTGCTTTGTTGCTCACAAAGCTCTTATCATAGTGAGAGATCAACTATATGCTTTTCTGAATTAACGATGATTAAGTCAAGTAATTAAAGATTCATTTTCTGCCAGGAAACATAACCAGGTTAAAATTATGTGAAATGAAATTTAAGCAAAGGTTTGACTCACCTGTGCTATCCTATTTTTAATATATACACAGATTATAAAAAATATGTTAGTATTTTTATTTATGGAATTCTCCTTTAAAATAGAGATATTTCTGTTTCCATTATTTGATAACTACATTTTAAAAGTAACCGTCCAGAAGAACTATGACTTATTCTACATGATATGGAAACAACCTTTCAATTAAAAAAAATAGGCAAATTATGAAAGACCCTATCCTGTAGCTCAGTGGTAGAGCCTGGAGTGTAGCATACACTAAGCTCGTAGCACTGCAATAGGCACCAACAAGTAAAAATAGGCAAATTAGCTAACATCATTGTTTTGAATTATTCTGATTTCTCAAATAGATAGACAGACAAACAGACAGATAGGTGTATATTTGAAGAAAAATATATATCCATTGTAAATCACTTTTCAATGGCAGTGTACAGCAGCCAATATGGACCTATGAAGTTTTTACAATAAAGCTGATCCTGTTCACAAACAGCATCTCAGGTTATCATGGAAAGTTTATATGTACCAGTTCTAGAAATGCTATTAATCACTTTCACCCACATAGATTAAGTAGCCAGATGTCATTCACATAGCCATGTAAAATGTCTAGCCTGGCTTAAATTTTGCCACGGCAAAGAGGAAATCAGCATGATAAAACTTTTACTAGACTACCCCCTGAAGATCTTGATAATGTCTCTTAAAGTACTGTAACTGCAATAAGTTATAGTGAAAAATAGCATCACTCTATTACATATTAACCAAACCAAAACCACTTGAACAGAACTCAAATTCAAAACGGAAATAAATTCCAATGACTGAGTAAAATAAATAAGTAAATAAAAAGTACCTCTGAGCCATGACTCTTCCTTCTTTCTCAGCTTCTAAAATTAAAAAGTAAGGTTATATGTTCCAAGTCCTATTCTGTAAGAAAAATAGACATGGAAATAGAAGCTATGTACACAGTTTAAAAAATTCTTACCGTTTTAGCACTGACATATTTATCTTTATATAACTCTTCTATCTAATGCTACTTATTTAATGAACTCCAAATGACATTTTGTAATAAATGGTCCAGTTATTTATTTTAAAATTGTGCTGTTTCTAATAAAGAACACTAGTGTCATGTATAATTTTTCTATGAATAGAAATTCAATGTAAAAAGGTAACTATCATGTATGCTATGCTTTTCCTTATAATTAAACTTTAGATAGCCCAAGACTTTATACCATTTAAAAAATGAACAACATATTTACTAGAAATGAAAATGTGCCTCAGGCTTCCCAATTAAATTTGACATTTCATTATTCTCTTAAATTACAAATAAAATGAAAAGGGATAAATGCTTCTTATAGGATTTAAAAAGAAACACTAATAAAATATTGAATGATGGGCTGGCATTTTAGCCATGGGGTGGTGCACTAGCCTAGCATGAGCAAGGCCTTGGATTTGATCTCCTGTCCCAAGAAAATGAATGATAATTCATTATATCTTTTTTTAAAGTTAATGACTTTATTCTCTATCCTCTAAAGCTTCAAATCAACTATGATCTTGGAAATCTCATAATACATATTCTCCAAGCAAGAAACCTTGTTCCTCGAGACAACAATGGATATTCTGACCCCTTTGTTAAAGTGTACCTTCTTCCTGGAAGAGGGTAAGTAAAGAAGCAATGTCTTCTACGTATTACAGCCCCTTGTTTAAATAATATACTAATAAAATGGAGAGAGCACTTACAACTGGAGAATTAAAGCATGTACACAAAATGTACACATATATAGCTGTTTATTTTTACTTATTTTACCTATTTTACCAATAGTGCAGTAATTAATAATAGAAACAGTCTCCAATTTCAAAGCCTCACCTTGAGTTTATTACCTTTCCTTTAGTTTTCTCCCAGTCATGATTATTTATTCTCATTAGTAGATAAGGCAGTGCCTTCAAGGATTCTGGGAAGAGCAGTCATCATAATAAAAACAGACTCAATGAGAGCAAATCAGCATTTCTATTCTGGGAGCCAGTCCTGTGATGACTGGTCACTTGATGTAGTCTGTTAAGAAACTATGGAAGAAACTATGGGGGATGAATTTAAAGAATTAATTTATATTCCCCAATTCATTTGAAGAAAACAGTGTTCAGTTACTATCTTTGTAATGTATGTTTATGATCTATTACTTTTGTGTTCCTTCAGTGATTTATTCTTATGTATTGCTATTTATCAACATACTTTTCAATCAGTGTTTAAAAAACACTAGTAAATAAGAATAGCGTTTAAAAGACTGACGTTGGTAAATAAACGGAAAATGTCTTTTGAATGTCTTGTTTTATGTGTAAATTATTGATGTAAAATATATACTCAGGACTTGAGATGTACCTTAGTAGTAGAGCATGTACTTTACATGCTTGGCACCAACTAAAATTAATAAATAATAAATTGCTCTCGGAGATACCTAATTTTTGAATAAGTAATGTGTATAAAGTATGTTCTGGATAATTCATATCAAAGATGGTTTTAAAAATGAGGATTTGGCCTTCACAAAGCATATAGTTATCTGAATAATTTATGCTAAATTAGCATAATGAAACAACAAGCAATCAAATAATAGAGATAAAATAAAAAGTAACCTGAGTTGGTAATTTGGAGGTATTATTTTGTTGTTGTTTCCTTAATATGAAGAGTGATTGTTTAAATGTTGTTTTGGGGGTGTTTGGCGGGGAGAAGGTTCAACTGTAGTCCAGAAGCAGAGGACGCTATATGACCCATCACACACCCCAGCTCAGCAGCAGCTGTCATCAGTTGGGGCCAGTCATACTCGCCTCTACCTCATCAACTCCATCCGCCCACACTATTTTAAAGTACATTCAGCTATTGTAACTGTTAGTGCCAATGTTTTTGTTTACGTTGTATAAGATAAAGACTCAAATCTAGTCACACCATGTGTCGCCAAAATAATTAAAAATTTTGCAAATGATTTCTTAATTCCTCTAATTTGTCTTCACACTGTTGTTTATATAGCTAGTTTGAAGCCTTAATTAACATACTTCCCATCCAAAGTAAATTCTTTTTAGGTACACATGGTGCACTCACCTGAACTATTTTCTGGGTGACATAACAACCCTCAACAAATTTAAAAGCATTGAAGCCATAGAAATTATGTTTGTCTGACTGTAATTGCTGTATTTGAGTAGGATCCAAATTAGTTATACAGTGCATTTAATTCTGTTCCTAAGCTATATTTTCACCATGGACAGATCACCAATTTCACTGAAATTCAGTTTTCTTGCTGATATTGAGAGAGTTAATGTAGGCATATCATCATTTCTAGTTTGTCAGAGAAATCAAATCAAATCACACTCAATGATTTGAAAATTGTCAGGTACTATGTCAAATTGAGTATAAACTTTAATTTTATCCTCCCCAGTAATTCCATTTGGAACTGAGAATTATCGATACTGTTGTGCTAGCTTTAATTTATTAAAGTTTCTCAAACCTTCACTAATTTTATGGAGATTATTCAAATAGTTCTATAGCCTCAGAGAATCTTGTCTTTCATAATAATTAAATTCTACATTTGCGTAATTGTCTATAAAGTTTGTCTATGTCTTTTCAGATGAGTATTAAAAAAAGGTAACAACAAGCCACGTTTTATTTTGCTATCTACTTCGGTCATTAGACCTTTAGTGTTACTTAATAAAATATTGGGGAAGGGAGAATCACTGTCAAGTATTGTCCCTAACTTGTATTTTTAGTGAATGAATGGAAATAAAGCTTTATCATTTTTTATCCTCTAACGATATTCTGCAGTCTCATATTTTATACAGCATAAGAATATCTACCTTTTATTTATATGCAACATGTTTTCATGTTGCAAATGCTTGTAACCAGAACAGATGGGCAGGTAATATGAATAAGTCAGTTCATTGTGGAAAAAGTAACAGGAAATGGAGAATGTCTCACCTACGCTGTCCTTGCAAAGTTTCTCCAATGATACATGAGTGAGATCTGCCTCAGTAACAGCTATTATACTACTCCTATTCAATACTTAGTTCTTTTATTAAATTCCTCTTAATAGATTATAATCGTAAGGTATTTTTTCAATGTATTTCAGATGGATTTTTTCCTGCCTCATGTCATTTATACATTATGAAATAGCTGCTCTAAGTGTTAATATCGTATTTCTTTCTTTATTTCTGTTCCTAACATTTTTCTTCTTGTCTTTCCTACTTTCCTGTTGTTCCTCACTCTTGTTCCTGGAATCAATGCAGTCAAGTCATGGTTGTCCAGAACGCCAGGTAGAGTTGATTCTCTTTCAGTGTTTAGCAGTAGTGTTATGCCTAGAGTTATACTTGTTATATTTTTATGTACATTGATTCACACTTCATTGTTGTAATTTTTATTCTTCTGATCTGGGTATCTATTGAATTACTATTTCATAACTAGCTTCAGCAGATGTGTCTAATAAGACCCAGAAAAGTAGAAAATATAATTTGTTAAACCTTAGCCATTCATGTGGTAATCACAGATTAAGATTTGCTGGATCTTTTATATCATTCTGGAGTCACTTTTTAAAAGGAATTAACTGATATTTTAGATTTCCAGTACTACATTCTAGAAGTACACTCCAAAACTGCTTATTATAAAATATTGGCAGTCGCATAATTATTCTTGATTGGTTCCAGTGTTAAGAGCCTGTTTGCTAATAACTCATAGCATGTTGCACCATTACATTATCAACAAACAGTACTTCTAATACACAACCAGAAGCATTATTTAGCATGTCACTTATTGCATCATCATAAATTGAATGTGTTACTTGAGAAGGTGAATCATGTACCATCTGTAGCAATAGAGTAATGAGAATTTTAATTTCATCTAGATTATTAATGGTACATTTGTTTTGTCTGTGATTTTAAAATATGATATATTTATTAATCCCAACAAGCTGTTTCCCCAAAAGAGGATGCTTGTTCATTTTAAAAGCATAAGAATGTGTCTCAAACAATAGAGTTAGTCATCACAGCCTTACCAGAAACTTTCAAGCCATGTCATTGTAGCAAGAGGTGAAATTTGATGCTGATGAGTTTCATAGTATGTCTTGTTCTCACATTGCAGAACACAATCCAGATCTTTTGGAATGATATATAAAATTAATCTTGTTTCAAAGACATAGTGTCATTTATATAACAGACATTGACTATCACACTTTTCAGAATTTTCGCTCCTTCATCTAGACACACTGAGAGATAATTATCAGAGTACTGGCTGTCTTCATTTAACTTACAGAAGAGCATGTTTTGTAAATATGAACAATAGTTGCATGCATTTTTAAGAAGTCTTTAAGAACTTCGGTTGGAATTTCAGCCCTGCCACTTACATTCTATGAGATATAATTTAAACTCTTTTCTATTCTGCTAATTAGGAATAACAGCAGCCTTTACAGAATTTTTATTTATGTATATGAATAAATGAAGTAATAAGCCTAAAGTAACAACAATAACATCTGGCACATAACAAGCTCTTAATAAACAACATTTTGTTTCTGTATTATAGCTAGCACATGTATGATAACTTGCTGGTAACTGATAGTCTGTTATCACTGCAAAATAAGAAATACAATGTTTTTGGATCACTCTATTACACAAAATTATTTAATATTACTAAAAAGATAACTAGGCAGATTTTCTTCAGTAACATCATATAATGCATTATAATTAAAGTAATGAAAATCTTGTTAACTAAAATCATAGTTTCTTTTTTTCCATTTTCTTTTCTTATCCTTTGATCAATTTATTGTTGAGCTCTGAAAGACAGTATCTGGCAAGCTGGGGTGAAAGAATGACAGGAAAGAGCTCAAATTGTCATGAACGTAGTGAACGTTCTAGTGGATTAAGAAATGAAATGAGTGTATCTGAAGTGTCTCTTTCCAGTTTTGTCTCATCATACTTTGGGCAAAGTGCAATTCTCTTCACATTAATCAGATTTTTCTGTAATTGTAACTAGTTTTAGCTGTCATTATACTTGGAATCTCTTTCTAGCTACACTTTGTCTAAGCAGTCTTGTTAGCATATCAAACTATTTTTTACAAGACAAAAATTGTTTAGGTTGCAATCTGAAGACCAAAACTTATTTCAGTTGATTTTACAAGAAACTAAAGAAGCACAAGCAGATTTTAGGATAGAGATAATCACTATGGTCACCTCTATGAATTACCTTTTTGTTTTCCAGTATTACTGTCTTGATGATTAGATATGGCCTAATTTTCATAATGTAATAACAGCAATGTGTTGTTCTCCCTTCACAAGGAAATGTAGTAGGCTTACTAGACAAGAAAAGAGAATGAATTCAATTTCTTCCTCTTCTTGAATTTATGCTCTTATCTGAATTTTGCTTAAGAGTTTCTATTTAGCATTGCCAATAACTCTGAGCATCATTTGTCCCTACATATTAAGTGTGATAGTAAAAAGCTTGTCTTATAGCAATGCCATGAAGAGCAAATTATTTAGCACATAAAATACACTTAGATCTCTGCCTAGGGGACAGAATTTAATACATTTACTTATTATTATATCAGTTTTCATGCATGAATCAAATATATGATCATGTGTTATAGTAATTAAGCAAAGATTCTATTGTCTTTTCTCAAAATTTTCTCTATAATTTTTGCTTATTTATACAAAGAAAAAAATGACGTGCACATGAAACTTTTAAATAATCATTATTTTAATTATGCACAAGGAAAACATAGTGGCTGGTAATTTTTTGTAAACATTTCATCACAACAGACAATTTTACTATATTCATCCAGAACTTCCATGCAACTACATGAGTTTGTGTTTGCCATTTATTCTCATCTTTAACATGATACAGACTCAACATTTTGAAATCTGAAAAATAATTATACTGCTCCTGACTACATTATGAATTGTTAATTTTTTTCCTATGATCCATTACATGGATAACTATATCCAAAATAAGCTGCAAATATAACACTTGTGCTACTTACTATATGTTTCTCTTAACATATTTGCATTAGTGTAGCAGTGATTCTAAAGTACCAACCAAAATCTATACTTGCTAGTGGTGACATCAATTCCTCCTGTACTATCATCAAAAAAAGTTATAAAAGTGAAACATAAAGGAATATATTTACCAAAATCATTTGGGCTTTGTTTTAAAATCTTTCAAGCCTACTGTAAATGTTTATGCTTGCTATTCAAGTTTTATCAAACCTTAGTATTTTATTGTATTTGTCCAATAGAATCTACCTAAAAGTGCACCTGGAGCCTTCTGTAATCACTTCTTTGTTCCCCTAAAATCACCACTGAATTAAATTTAATATTTTATACTCACGCTTACTAGTACACATTCTTATATACATGTATGCTAAATAATTTTTTTTTATTTTTTTTTTGTTTATTTATAAAGGAGAGAGCTGGGAAAGAGAGGAAAGAGCTAGAAAAGAGCAGAGAGAGGGGTAAGAACAGTAGCACTCACGTGGTATTCGGGTAAGGGGTAGGTTTATCCAGTAGACCTGCTGGGACCAGGCAAGGTTGGCACTCCACGTGGCTGGGAAAGAGAGAGGAAAGAGCTAGAGCAGAGAGAGAGAGCAGACAGAGCTAGAAAAGAAGAGCAAGAGCAAGAAACGAACAGAGAGAGAAAGAGAGAGAGTCTGGGCAAGAGAGGAAAGAGCTAGAAAAGAGCAGAGAGAGCTAGAAAAGAAGAGCAAGAGCTAGAAAAGAACAGAGCGAGAAAAAGCTATGCTAAATAATTTTTATTATTTCACATAATTATAATAGTATCACACTGCTCTCTACATTTATTTATTTATTTATTTACTTATTTTTATTTTTTGTCGATCATGGGCTTGAACTCTGGGCTTGGACGCTGTCCCTGTGCTCTTCAGCTCAAGGCAAGCACTCTACCACTTAAGCCACCGGTTTTTGAGTGGTTTATTGAAGATAGAGTCGCACAAACTTTCCTGCCTGGACTGGCTTTGAACTGTGATCCTCAGATCTCAGCCTCCTGAGTAGCTAGGATTACAGGCGTGAGCCACCAGCACCCAGCTACATTTATATTTTCACAAAATTATTTAGAAATCTATTTCTATGTATGGAGATGGATTAAATTTAAACTGTTGTTTAGTATTCCATTGATTAACTATAATGTAATGTATTCATTGTCTTATTGATTATTAAAAACAATATGGCAGTAAATATTCTTGAACAAAATTCTTGTTCATGGGTGGGAGAATTTTTGTAAGATAAAAATGGAATTAGTAGGATGGAATATTCTAGATATGTGAGACTAGAAATTTACACATCACTAGATACTGAAAAAAAAAAGTGTGAGTGAAATTTATTATTTCTTTCCACAGTCCATAAATTTGTTTAAATTATTGTCTATACACTTTCCCGAGGGTATTTTGGAAATTTATTTTGAGTGACAAAATTATAAAATTCTGCATTTATTTTTGAACAATCAAGTGCCTTAGTTAGAAGTAAGATGAGAACTTCTTGGCTTTTAAATTGGATTCAGATGTTAGACAGAAAAGGTAAAATGAGGCATAAACTCTGTACCTCAATCTTGACTACACATTAGGATGACCTGACAGCCTTCAAAACTACTGCTCAAGACTTAGCACATTCAGACTCTCCTTGGGCGAGATCTATGAAGTCCTGACTTCGCCGACCCAAACAAAATTCACACAGCAAGTGATTCCACTGTGCAGTCATTGCTGAGAACTCTTCCCCTTGCACCAGGTGGTTAAGAATAAAACAAGAGAGAAGAAAGAAACTAGTCATGAATCTATGTTTATAAATGGATGGTAAATTGGAATTTTGCTTCCCAGGAGCTTTATATAGAAAACATAAGAAAATATTATCTGAGCAACAAACTTAGGCATTGCAACATATGACAGTGTGTATACCAAGTCAGGGTATACCAATAGTCAGTCTGAGTTTATAGTTTGAGTTTATAATAGAATAGTAGGTCTCTGGCTGGTGCTTTTAAGTAAGGGAAGTTTGTAAAGTCCAGAAACCTGAATGGACTTTAGACAAATCTGTTCCATCTTAGGGCTCTGATGCCCACCAGAGATAAAGTGTTATTTAGTAACTGAGATATGAACTGAGGTATAAAATATAGAAAAAGTTAGTGAAAGAGAATGGCTGTGTCTGTGTGGGCACCATTTTCTAGTAACATGTCACAGTAACCTAAATCCATCCCCAACTACAATTGTAGATGTTCTGCTTAGACTTCCTTGGGATAGTTGTGGGATATGAGTTGTAATATGTAAATGGATCATTGCTAAGCAAGAATGAAAATGTCATGGGTATACACAAATACAGTTATATTGAATAAAGATTTTTTTAACTTGGTCCAATTTAATCATAATCTATTAGCATGAAAGAAGGATTTATAGTAAAAATTTTATAGCAACATTAAATACCATAGTTTACCAAGAGTATCCAAATACATTTTAAGTGCTATTGATGGTGATAGAATGTCAGTTTTGGCAAGAACCATACATCATTTGTTTCAGTACAACCATTAACTAATTTTTGTTTAGAAAAAAATTGATTGATAGACCATTTAGCTTTGCTGACATGTTTAGATGTGAACTATTGGGATGCTAAAGACCAATTTAGTATTTGTAGCAGAAAAGATATTGAAAATACCATTCAGTTAATATGACTAGCTACTATATTCAGGAAATAGTAATATTTATAAAGTTCTAGTATGATTAAAATACCTAAAAGCATCTGCTGAAAAGGGCAAACAAAATATAAGGAATCCAACTTATGCAAATTGCTCTTGTGTGTTCAAGTTAAAATAAGGCTTAAAACATAAAATAATAAGATAATTACATAGTGATTTGAAAAAAAATCTTTGAAAAGTCTACATATCTACATGACTATGAAGTCATTAGGTGAGCTAAATAATCAAATTAACTCTTTCCTTTCTTCCATTCAGTGCCGAGTACAAGAGAAGGACTAAATATGTCCAGAAAAGTCTGAATCCTGAGTGGAATCAAACAGTAATTTATAAAAGCATTTCCATGGAACAGGTGAGTGATGGTTATTTCCTAAGTAACAGATTTGGACTAAAAATATAGTTATGACAAATGACCCATTTGTCATTATTTTATTTTATTTTATTTACCATAAAATGTAAATACTTCCATAAAGTATATAGCATCTGAGGAAAAATGAAGTTCAAATATTATACAAAATAAAATGTATACATTTTGATGTATTTACTGCTCAAAATGGACAAGTAAGTGAATGTAAGAGAACTGGTCAATTACTATCCAATTAGTACTACATGCAATTTAAGTGTCAGTACATCAAAATTTATAAATATTTTGACATGCATAAGTAATGCAAAGACACAATGTGTTACTTCATGAAATATTTTAAGACTCCTGTTAGTAGGCTAACTCCATAGAAGACAAAATAATGACTAGCATAAAAGATTATCACTACAAATTAATGACTCTAGGCAAAAATGGTATCAATGTACACTTGAAAATCTGAACATCAGAACTTTGTATTCATAGCAGAAAAATAATTGGCAGTTCATAAAGTTAAATTCAGAGAAGAGAATAAAGTCAAACAAGAAGAAATCACATGTAAAACAATTTTCAAATAATTGGATCTTTAAAGTAAGGTCTTAATTTATCCACTGGAAGATGAGTATGATTATATGTTCAGACATAAAAATTACAATCTGGGTGTTTTAATGTAACATGTTAAATTCACTGACAGAAATAAGATACTGCTACCGGTATCATTGGATATCATTGAAACAATAGGAAATCACCTAAAAAGTTTACATCTTCCAGAATTATTTTACAATTTATGAATTTCTTATAAGAACCTATATTCTACTTTCTATTTTAAAAACTGGGTGGATGAGGAATATACATAGGAAATAAATAAAAATTACCAATTCTTAAAAAGTGCTTTTAATAATCAAACTGGATTAGAATACAAAGTAATTGTTTAAATTTTATGCAATATTTTATTTATGTTTATTTAGTATAAATAAACATTCTGTAGGTAAAAAATAGAAGTACATTTGTGTAAGTGGACAGGATTTAAATATGAAAGTAAATTGCAAGTGCAATGAAAATTTATTATGGAAAATGGAGTTAATGTCAATTTTATTTGAACTATAGCTAAAGAAGAAAACCCTGGAGGTGACAGTTTGGGATTATGATAGATTTTCTTCAAATGACTTCCTTGGAGAGGTAAGCCCCAGATTGCATTTTCCTTCCATGCTGCCATTGTAAACCACCAAATAAAGCAAGATGCAAAGCATGTTTCTATTTATTTATACATCTATTTATTTATATTGTTATCTTTAAGTAGTTTTACAAAGGAGTTGTCAATTAACGAAGCAGTTTATAATTCAATATATCATGATCAGTGTCACCCTTTTCAACATTCTTATCCATCCCTCTCCTCCCTACCCTCACACTTACTTTTCTTATTTTTGTAGAATATATATTGGATTCTTTACTGCATTTTCTTCCCCTCTTCTCCTCTCCAAAGTATATTTCTTTTTTTTTAATTGTGAAAATACCAGACAGTGGGGTTACAATTGCATGAGCAAGGTCATGAGTACATTTCTTATCAAGCATTGTTGCCTCCTCCTTTGTTTCCTCTTCCCATCCCTTTCCATCGCCCCCTCTCCACTCGCACCCACCGCACCAAAGTTGTAAAGTTCATTTTTTGACATAACGTCTTGTACATCTCACTGTTGCCATGGGTCCACCTGTATCCCTATTTAAACAATTTGTTTATATCTAAAATATACCTGGAACTTAAAAAATTAAATCCCCCAAAAACAAATCTTCAAAGAAACAACTGCCCAATAAGTAAGTGGGCTAAAGGCTTAAAAAGAAACTTCTCTGAGAGGAAAGAAGGATGGCTAATAGAAACATGAAGAAATGCTCAACCTCCCTAGCCATAAAAGAAATGAAAATTAAAACAACATTGAGATACCACCTCACCCCAGTTACAATGGCTAGAATCAAGAACTCTAATAACAACAGATGCTGGAGGGGATGTGGACGGAAGAAAACCTTACTGCATTGTTGTTGGGAATGTAAACTGGTTCACCCACTTTGGAAAGCAGTATGGAGGTTCCTCAAAAGACTCCACGTAGAGCTCCCCTATGACCAAGCAATCCCACTTTGGGCATTTACCCAAATGATCACAAACAAGACTGCACTAAAGCTACCAGAACGACTATGTTTATTGCAGCATTATTTGCCATAGCTAAGATATGGAACCAATCCAGATGCCCCTCAGTAGATGAATGGATCAAGAAAATGTGGTATATATACACAATGGAATTCTATGCCTCTATCAGAAAGAATGACATTGCCCCATTTGCTAGGAAAGGAAAGACTTGAACAAAAATTATAAGTGAAGTAAGCCAGTCCCAAAGAAACATAGGTCCCATGGATTCCCTTATTTGCAATATCTAGTATATGTCTGAGTCAAGCAGAAAAGGTCAGATAAGTTGACGTTAGGGGAATGAACCCCAAGATAAGTATTCAAATGTTTTTTTGTTTTTTTTTCTTTCATGCAATTGTTTCTAACATATTTATAAGATGATATCTTTGTTACTTTGTATGTCCCTCCCCCATGGTACAACCCATGCTTTCACTGTATTTGATGTTGGTATAATTTGTGGAGGGGAAGGGAAAAAACAAATCGTTTAACTAGGGATACATGTGGACCCATTGCAACAATGAGATGTTCAAGTCGTTATGTCGAAAAACGAACTTTAAAACTTTGGTGGGGGGTGGGGGGATGATCGGGTGGGGGGAGGGGGGAGTATGGGAAAGGACGGGAAGGGGAAACAAAGAGGAGGCAACAATGCTTGATAAGAAATGTACTAATTATCTTGCCCATGTAATTGTAATTGTATGGTATTCTCACAATAAAAAAAAAATTTAAAAAAATTGTTTTTTCCCTTCCCCTCCACTAATTATACCAACATCAAATACAGGGAAAACAGGGTTTCTTAAGTTTATGAAATAGTTATTTCTAAATAAGTTATTTTGCAATCAATATTTCCAGATTATTATTTGAATAGATGAACAGTGCCTTGAGAAATGGTTATTGGTCTACTACTTGATATAATTTTTAATTAAGTTGTAAGATTGGATGTTAATTGTTTCAGTAGGAAAATATACAGTCTTGCTGTCAGCCCAAAAGATTTTTGAGCTAGTAAATTTATATTAGAAATAAGCTAGATATGTAATAATAAAAATTTTGGTTTCTTTACTTGCTGTTGTCAATGCATACATCAATGTAACATTTTCACATCTCTAACTGGTAGTTAAATACCCTGAAATTTTTTTCTCAAAGATTCCCAAAAGCAAAACTAAAAATAGGAAAATACAATTATAACAATTTTATATATGAATTTGCAGTGTTGATCATTTTTGTTCATATAGGATGTCCTGAAACTGCATGTTTTATTTAATGCTTTTTCCTTAGAACAGAAATGTTAGCTATATGTTAAATTAAATTATGTCTCAGAAATGTAAATCTGACAAAATGCAATGTCCTTTCTTAATTTTATTGTATAGATGATCATTTAACCTTTTTATTATGGTCTATCCCTGCTGTCCTGCCTAAACCAGACTACTTAAGCACAACCTTCAAACTGCTTTCTTGTCATTATGCTAGGCAAGATCATTCTAGGACATAGTGTTATATCTGATTTAATGTCTCATCTCAAAAACTGATTTACTTACAAAAATGTTCTTATTTGTTGTCTTTACATTCATTGTCCTGAAAATATATGTGTGTATACATGCACACAAATATGTAAAGTCTAAGGTGCCAATAACTTTAAACTGCACCACTTATGTACAATGAAGTTATCTGTGTGTTGTGCTATTAAATCTGTTTAGAGGAGGATAGCAGGGGAGCACAGAAATGGTAGGAGAATGGATGAATAAATGCAACAGTGATACTCACTAGACAGTATGTTAAAAATGAACTACACAACTTGTATAGGGGGTTGGGTGGGGAAAACTGGGAGAAAGTGCAGGAAGGACTGATACTGTTCCAAAAGAAATGTACCCATCACTTGACCTCCACAATAACAACACATTCTTTGTTTAAAAATAGAGAAATAAGTTAGTAATTGCAAATCATCTCTTCTTTGAAATCTTTTCATTTTTTCCTTCTTGTAACTAAAATTATACTTTAAATAAACTTCCAGGCATGATTAGGACTAGGAGTTCATAGAACCAATACAGTTTTTTTCTGGAAATGATTTACTTAAAACTCTACTGTCTTTCCAATCAAAGCCTTTATGCAGTTCCATTTAATCATTTAATTGAGAAAAAGGAAAAAAATGAGGAAAATAGTAAAATATCATCTATAATGCTAATACTATGCCTTTTGCACACATATACATATAGATACAAGATAAATGCATATGTATCTATCCATACATATTTATCTTTGAATAAATTTTGGATCACAGAAAATGTAATGGATGCATTGAACATAATTCATAAATTTCATCCATTTGTTGTCTTTTTCAGGTATTGATTGATTTGTCTAGTACATCTCACCTTGATAACACTCCTAGGTGGTATCCGCTCAAGGAACAGACTGAGAGCATTGATCATGGCAAGTCCCATTCCAGTCAAAGTAGCCAGCAGTCCCCAAAGCCTTCTGTCATCAAAAGCCGAAGTCATGGTATCTTCCCTGACCCATCCAAGGGTAGGAATTATTTCAAGGAGAAAAAGCATTTTGTCTGTTTGTTCTCTCAGTATCTTCTTGACATGTGTGCCTCTATGTTGCTTAATTGATATAGGATAATACGTATCTTACATTGTATATTGAAAAGTCAGATTCTATTGAAATATTAATATACTATCTAACAGAGTGATCTGGAATTTGAGAAATAGGCTTGTCTTTTCTCAGCATAGAATTAGGTATATCACCTTACAATCTTCAGTTTTCTGGTGCTATGTTTCAACCTGTTAAAACGACAGTATGAGCTATATGAAACATTTCATCTTTTCTGTTTTGATAAATCAATGTTATGTTTTTAGAAAAAAGTGAATTAATACATTTCATAAACAAAAATATTAAAGTCCCTTTTCATACATTGACTAAATATAATCATGCTGATCAAGTGATTATGATGTTTGAAGATATGATTTTTCATATGGTCTTACTCATAAATATAATTTCACATATTGCTTTTACTTATCACATCAAGAACTTTTTTGTTTATCATTAAAACTATTGGAGTACTAAAATTCCCTTAACTCTTTCCTAAATATTGGCCCCAAATTAATTTTCAATTGTTGTTATTGTTATTTTAATCAGCACTACCTTATACTGAGTTTGGCAATATGCAAAACATTTCCATTTAAATGATTTTTAACTTTGGGAGGTTTATTTCCAACTGTTCTCTAATACAATATCAGTCCACATTATAAGTTGTTATTATTGCCCATATAGAATAAACATGTGATATCTTACCTAGACATACTGAGCTATTTGTAAGTATTACACAGTTATACAATTTTTATACTGGACTTGAGTGATGCTTCCATGTCTCTGATGAACTTCTCAGAAAGTATATCACATTGAGAAAGTATTTCTATGTATTATAAGGTAATGAATTACTAGCTTTTTTGAAAACGGAGGCTATATCTAGAGGCCATTCAGTTCATATTGTGAACTGCTGACTAAAATGAGTACTGTAGATTATTTATGAGTGAGCTTTATAGATCAATTATTTGATTCCACCTGTCTAACTCATCTGTGTCCCTTTTAACATTCTGCAAGATGATTAACATAAAACCCAATCTTCTCCTTCCTTCTCTCCCTTCCCTACTCCTCCCACTACCTCTCTCCTAGCAGAAATGTGTGCTTGGTAAAAATCTTTTAAATTGCTGCAGTCAATGGTTCTGCAGGCTCTAATACTCTCGGGTGACTTTCACCTCATCCCAAAATTCATTTCACTTTGGCTTAAAACTTCTCATCAGTATAGCTGCATTGTCTTTTTCCCAACTTCTACCAGAATAGCGAACTTACTGCCTGAAACTAGAACTTAATGTATTTAGTAGTTGAAACTAGAAGTTAATGTATTTAGTAGTTAATCTAAGTTAGATATATTCTTCTTCATGAATGTATCTCTTCTCAAGATTGTCATCTTTTTTTCCTACCATCCCCAAAAATGGCTTTCCAAATATTTAATCACGTTTTATATGGTAAGCGGTTGCATAGGTGAACCATAAGCAGTATTAACATAATTCTTAGTTATATGTAGCAGTTACTTACAATTATGTGTAGACCAAGTGTGACAGAATAAATGTAACTCATGCTTTACCCTTTTATAACCAGACATGCAGGTTCCAACCATTGAGAAATCTCATAGTAGTCCTGGTAGCTCCAAGTCATCATCTGAAGGCCATCTCCGTTCTCATGGACCATCTCGCAGTCAAAGCAAAACCAGCGTTACTCAGACCCACCTGGAAGATGCAGGGGCTGCAATAGCTGCAGCTGAAGCCGCCGTGCAACAACTCCGCATTCAACCAAGTAAAAGACGCAAATAAATTCCTCAGCATGGCAGCTTAATGTTCATCTGTTGCCTTTCTCTCCTGCTGTCCTTCCCTGTTTGCTTTCTGTTTTTGGCATCCCCTGCTCACTCTGTTCTCTGTCCCTTTGTCTGTGTAAGAATGGTATCAGTACATAAATATGCTCTTCCTTATATTTGGTTTATTTTTGTTTTTTGTTTTTTAATTTACGTAGACTGCAATAAAACTGGCTGTTTCTCCTTTGTCTTCACCATCCACCCAACCTGGCTCATAGTATTTGGTAGCTGTGTTTGTGGTGTAGGCAGACAAAGCAATGTTGTGAGTCTTTTTGTGTGTGCTTAAATAGTCTTTGGAGTGCAGGGATCATAAGCACAAAGGGGCTGCCAATTTTCCAGGCATTACATCCAAAAAAGCACAAACACACAAATATTTAGAGCAAATGAACAATGAGATTCTTGCACATTGAAATACTAAAAAAAAAATTTAGGCAGAAATAAGAGACCAACCAGCAGTCATGTTTTAGAACCTAGAGGAAAAAAAGAAAACATGTTAAGCCAATGTTTAAAAGAACTAAGAAATTATGCATGTAAGATGTGGCTTTCCATGTGTAAAATTTCCTAGTCTCCTAGGAAAGAAAATCATTTTGTTTAAAAAATACTTAGGATTAGTGTATGTATAAGAATATTTAATGAGGCCCTGTAACCTCATTCAGGAACACAATTTTGGGTCCATTTTTGTGGATCGCATTTCATATAGGATCACAGAGAATTTTTCAGGCTCTTTTTCTGGGCCTAACCATGAAATCCTTTAAAAGTCAAGACATGATATATCTAGTAGCTGTAAATCAAAGTAGAACGTTCACCCCACCTGACTGTTATATTTTCTTTTCATTTGTGAACATTTCATCACCCAATATAATTTTAACAAACTCTAAATGAAGATGAGATCGCTCCCAACAGTAGGCTCACTGTTACATCCATATGGCATTAGCCAGGCACTGGAACTAGATTGTTGCTTTTCCCATTCCTCTAGTCATTTCCACATCCCTTTAGTCATTTTCAAAGAAACAGCCAGTTTTTAACTCCCTTCAGTGCTGTGCATGTGGTGTCATTTTGGCATTTGAAAACACAACTTAAATAGAGCAAAAGAACACTTCTGTTTGCATGAATAACATTAAAGCTGGTTCCATCTGAGGATACATACTCTGGGTTTCCATTTCACCTACACTGCCACAGCAGCACATAAAAGCGGTCAGTCTAATCATGCCAGGAAGCAGCACAGACACAGCATAGCAGGAGTCCTCCCTATTCAAAGAACTCAGTCTGATAATCTGCCTCCACCAGCCAATGGCAACCAAGACCAAAGCCAGCTAGCCCTCAGGAAGGTGATGTCTGATGGACCAGTCAAGCCAGAAGGAGGTGAGCAGAAAGGCCCTGTTCAAAGCACACAGCAAGAACATTCCCCAAATTTAAAGCTTTCATTCTTAGAGATTGTCTAATGAAATATGTTTATCCACTTTTTAATGTGCTTTTGTGGGCATGGCATTTTAGGACTTCATCACCACCGTGTAAGTTCCAAGATCACTCTCGTAATATATTGACTACAGTGATTTGTATTTTTCTATGCACTGGGCATCTTCTGATCTTTGTTGGGAAATAGATTAACAGTATTCATATTGCAGAATGGAATGCATGCTTACTAACCTAATCTGTTCAAGCATGACTATAACTATGTTGCATTGTGATAAAACTTTAAATCGTTCACAGTTCAAGTTAGCATATCAGTTGGAATGTAGATCAGTCTTTGTTGCCTATTATTTAAAGTGTAACTTCTGGAAATTCTTAGAGGAGAGCAAAGGAAAAATTGTCAATGCACTCATTCACCTTTACATGGTGAAAGTTCTCTCTCAATCCTACAAGCAGACATTTTCCATTCGTGTTTCCATAGTTGTTAAGTGTATCAGATGTGTTGGGCATGTGAATATCCAAGTGCCTGTGTAATAAATAAAGTATCTTTATTTCATTCATAAACTACTGGGTTCTGAGCCATTGTTATATGATGCAGCATAAAATGAGTGTGTCAGTTTTTGTTTTCTCATTGATCCCTTGCAATAGTTTAGTCAGAGCTGTGATAACAGAAACATTTGGGAGAACAAAGTTCCACATTGGAAACATAAGACAGAAGGAAAATCATTACCTAGTAAAAGCATGTGAGCTTACATAAAAACATAACTAATGAGGTCGTGTTACCCTAGGCAACGCTTCCACTCGTCTCAGGTTTCTAGATAAAAGAAAATAAATCCATGAGCCCTTGATTTTTGGAAAGATGCAGTTAGCTTTGATCCCATAACTGAATTAAGAAAGAAAAGCAAGTTCATATCTGGTCCTAACTTTACCCCAACAGCTGTAGATTTTCCCCCAAGAAAGACAGCCTTTGTCCAGGACAGGAATCCAACTAACATCATTATAAAATTAGTTCTATTTAGTTCAAAACCATATATACAAATAAAGTTCTACTTGAATATATCTTAAGTACTTTCCAGCAATGTAGTACTCAATTTTATGATTCTGTATTTGCCAGAAAATTAAAACAAATTCTTATCATCTATTGCCTTTCTCTTTATTCTTAGAAAACTTAAAGCACTTACATTCTTCTTTCAATCAATTTGGTAGTTGGAGTATAGTGGATATATGTGGTCATCTGAAAAGTTGCTAAAGTTTTCCAGAAAAAAATAGTTTAAATACCTACAAAGTTTGAAAGTATGATTTCAGTCCCATTTATAGGTTACAAAAAGCCTGAGTTTCCTTTTCTTGCAAGTCTTACTAGCACATCCTAGAAATAGTTAGAATTCCATCTCTCACTTTCAGTACTCTCAAACGAGTTTGTTTTCTTCTTATTTTTCATTTTCATATTAACAATATTACACTAATTATAAAGGTCACCGTAATTGAATACCCCTTATTTTGTATCTTATTTTTAGTATTGTGACTTAATTACTATTATATAATCAATCATTTTATTGGATTTTTTCAATCATAAGTATGAATCTTAAAATTTGCATAAAAACATTGTAAGTCCTTTACTTTGAGTAAAGCTCCAGTATATAACCCTTAAGGTTAATGTGCTGTAATTGAATTTGAAGTCTTTCTTCATTGATGTAAAAATCAAGAGGAAAACTAGGTCATGTGGTGTGACTTTCTTGTTTCATTTTATCCTAAGAGATGATATGTAAAATACCTGTTTTCTACAATATCAATGTAGTATTTCCTGGCTACTATAAATAACGTAATTGAACCATATATTTCTCCAAATGCCTAATCAGAAATATAGTATAGGGTTAAATTTTTATAAATTATGATACAAATTGTTTAAGAAACAGAATAACTTACCAAAGATATAAACATACAAAGCACTAGCCAGTCCCAGTTCACTAGTTTACTTCTTGCAGAAGTATTAGGAATATTTCCATGTGTTTCGATAAGTATTCCATTTCAGTACTCACAATGGAGTTCACATAATCTCATCTGCATTCTGAAAATAACACTCTGTATTTGAAAGAAAGAAAAAAATTTTTGCATTGTCTAAAGTGTGGTGTCATCCATTTCTCATTTCATTACACAAAGAGGATGAGCTAGTAACTCAGATATTCTTATCCCTGTTACTGGGGGAATAACTAGAGAATTACAGGGGTAAAATATCTGATGTAAGAACACACACCTAAAATTTTTCTAAACCACCATTATTCCCTACCTTATATCTGTAATTATGACTCCCAACCTTTTGCTTTTTAAATACCCTAGGCCCTTTGCAATCAAGCACTTCTGGTTTTAATTTTTTAAAATATTTATTTACTTGGTATTTATCACTAAAATTCTTAAAAATTATTAGATGTAGCAAGAAATGGTGGCAAAATGCAACTTCTCTGCCTAATGATCCTCTTTTCTTGATGCTGGTGATTTAAACTTATGAACAGCTAAAGAAGAAAATTTTCCCAATGTTGTAGCCCAGTGAGCAAGAAGCAGGTCTGTAGAGGAAGCTGTGTGTACATCTGGAGGCATTTCTGTCAAGGGTTACAAAATTGTCCCTAAAGAGCATTTCATATATTGTTTGTAAGCTTCTCAGCACATTTCTGCTTGAAGTAGCATAATATATGGGTCAAGCAAGAATTATGGAGTGAGCCTAAAGGAACTTTTCTCTCCCTCTGGGGTTTACTTCCATGCTAAGAAATCTGAAGGGACAAATTAGACAGATTGTGCCAAGTCATCCTGATGCCTAAACAACTCTATTTATATTTAGAAATCCCTCTGAGTCTTTTCTTCTAGCTCCTTTGCTGAGCCTAGGCCCTTCTGTTTCAGAATGTGACATTATTAAGAGAAAATAATTTAGAAAATAGTTTTTATGGCTTTTGTTTCTTTTCTGAATAATATGCCAAAGCAAAAAATGTATTTTGAATTTTATTTTATTGTAAAGATGCTGTACAGAGGGATTACAGGAAAAAAATTAAGGAAGCATTCTTCAAGTCTTGAAGATTCATTTAGTTGGCTTCTAATATTCTAAATTTTAAGTTCAATTTGAAAAGTCTTACCCATTTTAGTTTAGTGCTAAAATCTTAGGTATGATTTTAAACTTAGAAATAGATCATAGAAAATGAATACACATATCCCCCACTCCCTTTTGAACAGATTCAAGAGGCTAGATAAGATGAATTATATTATCTATAATAATTATGTGAAAAGATTAAAAATACAAATACTTGATTCTGTAGAATTATAGGAAATAAACCTGGAAGCTACTTCCAGAGACCACTGCTAAAGATTCCACTTTAAATAAAACCATATTTGCCCCTGTCACAGAGTTTGTATCCATGCCTTGTCTTGGAGAACTCTTACCAAGTGATCACTGACTATGCAAGGTTTTATATCTTTGGGCAAGTGGTAGGGGGTGGCTGGGTTGGGAGCAGGAAGACACTAGGAGTAGAGAAATTGTTGACTACAAATGGTA